AAATATCAGCACATTTCAAACTGTAAAGCACAATACCTCAAAATTTACGTCAACAAATCTTAAATAGAAATTAGAACACCTCAACATGTTTTTAGAGTATTCCAGATGTAAAAAATAAACATTTCAAAATTAATTCTGAGGTGTCTCAAATGTAAAATTAGGACATTTCATTTTGAAGCTGGGATGTCTCAAGGGATTTCTTAAAACCAATGATGAGATTTAAGATAAAATGGAAATGTGTGTTCTAAAACCTAGCAGGGAAAAAGTCGCGATTGTTCTTAGAAGTTCACTACTTAAAGGCATCCAGAGTTAGAAAAACGAAAATCTGTCTGAGACTGCCCCGTCCTGTAACAACAATTCATCAAACTGCAGCCCCAGTTTTCCGTTCACGTATTTTAATAAGTTCACGTTTCCCACACGAACATAACACAGTGCTTACTTAGACAATAGGGATAAGAGAGAGGAGAGGAAAGTGGTGAAACAAGAAAAAAACAGAGCAAAAGACCAAGTACAATGCAATCTGGAAGGATAACAAAACAATTTTGCTGCACTTGGAAGAAAAGCACAGGAATGTTGGCGGAGTCGGATTTGTCGTCAATAAGAGCCATAACTTGTTTTTATGTTTTTTCTAATTTCGCAACAACTCAAAGAGATCCCCAAGTACCATTTCAAAAAATAAAAAATAAAATACGTTTTATCCTGGTAGGAAAAGAAATAATACATTAACTTACACTGGAATTGTGATCAGTAAAATACAACGGCAAGAGATCTTTTCGTTTTAGTCGAATAATTGAGTGTAGTACACGCTCACTCTGGCTGAAATGGATTAATGCAAAGGAGTGGGGTAATGGGTCTTTCGCCTCCCCCTCCTCCCTCCCGCCCAGAGGCACAGGTGCCAGTGCTACAAAAGTCTGGGTCTAAAGCTAGAACTGAAGAAAACTCTCTTCCGCACCCCATCGTCCTCCCCCAAGCCCTTCCCCTAGGCCAGCTGGATCCGACTACGATCCCATTTCGTCAATTGTTTTCTCAGCACCTTTCTAATGTTGAAAAAACTTTTTGAACTTCATTAGGGTCAAAATCTCCCAAATTTCGGCAATAATGAAATTACTAAGATACTGGAACTGAGCTATCTGCCCAGCAGAACTATGTCAGATATGATCCACTTTTTTTCTTCTCAGCACTGATACTTCTTTTAAAACTTCTTCCTCAACTAATAATCATTCGGTAATCATTCTGATCAGCTTTCTTTCCAATCACAATGCCTC